AACAATTACAGGATAAATTGCTATTGGGGGGAAAAAACATACTTGTTTTGTGTGTGTGTGTGTGGTGGGGGGCATATGGATCCCGCCTTCTGTTCGGATCTGGCCACAAGACCTCGTCAACATCACAGGCGCTGTCCTCGCGGGCTAGGCATCGGGGAAAATATCTCCTTGTGTGCCGAATCCACCCTTGGATTGATCCCACCTCAATGCCTCCGCATGCCTCTTCCATTGCTTGCAGAAGAGTCATGCGGGCGTGTGGTAGCCGATCATATACTTTCCACCGCCACGCTGAAAAGAATTCCTCGATTGCATTTAGAAAGGGGCAGGTATAAAAGTGTGAAATGGTTATGGTTGACCAGAGCAGCCCGGTGGAAACTAACATTATCCCAGATGACAACAAACCTGGGCTGCTGTGGTCTGTCCTGCACAACTGCATGTAGTGCATCTAGAAATGCAATGATCTGTCCTGTATTGTAGAGACCTAGAGTGGCATGGTGGTGCAGGACTCCTTGGACACTAATTGCAGCACACACCGTGATATTTCCCCCACGCTGCCCAGGGACATTTACAACAGCCCTTTGTCCAACTACGTTACGGCCCCGACGCCTGGTTTTGGCCAGATAGAAGCCTGCCTCATCCACGTAGATGAACTCATGTGGCAGTTCGGCGGCATCAAAATCCAGAACTGTCTGTAACAGAATATATTGAATAGCGTTACTGAAAACACATACAGTAACTATAATGCCTATATTTTCACACAAGTAGGGGCTGGGTTGGGTCAGTATAGACAAAAACTACAAGCTACAGGCAGGGCAGGTGGCAGCATAAACCCTCATCACAATATATTGTATGTAAAGTAAAGTGACACATACCTGCACATAACCATGGCGCAGATCCTTGACCCAGTTAGGGTTAACATAACCCAAGTTATGTTTCTGTAGGATGCGACTTAGTGTAGAAATGCTGACCCTGTTGATATTGTTGAATACATTTCTATTTGCAATTATACATTGTTGCAACTCACGAAGTCGGATTGCATTATTTTCTCGCACCATTTCAATGAAGGCAAGCTCTTGTTGTTGAGTGAAGAGCCGTTCCCTTCCACCTTGAGGAGGTCGTCCAACCATTCTGTAGACCATTGGTTAGGTTATTTTTCACATACTGTACACAGTACTGTAACATCACAATGGTATTCCTTTACATATACTTCACAGCACTACCCTTTTTTGTATAGTACAGTAATATGATACAAAATCATGTGACACATACAGTAGGTACAGTCTGGAGTAGAAACTTGAAGATATACCTGTTCTCCAGTCGGAATGCACTTATTATCGATGCTACGGTGTAGCGACTGAGGTTAGGGTCGACTCTTTACCCAGCCTCCCTCATGGACAGGCCATGATTTATCACATGGTCCACCAGAGTAGCCCTGATGTCATCTGATACACGTCTCCGCACTGGTCCTCGTCCTCTTCCACGTCCGACTCCTCTCTCTCTCTCTCTCTTTGTCCTCCTCTTACTCTAACTCTCATTGCCTCCATGCTTGCAAAGTTCTCAAAATGGCTTACCTGAGGCCTATTTGTAGTGCTAAGGCTCAGACCGATTGGTGTTCTGTTTTCTGTGCAAGTGTTTTCAGGTGTGTATGTAAGTGCCTACAATTGCCGGATGAGTTTTGCATTTTGAACAGAGTGTTTTCCCAATGATAACAGGTGATTTCGTTTTTGAACAAAGTGTCTAATGTAAGAAAACGTGTGTAGTGTTTCGTAATAAGTGTGTTACAGAATTGCAAACAAAGTGAAAAGTTGATAATGTGTTTAAGCTATGGTTACACTGCGTTTAAGATATGCTACAAGAAGTTTAGGTATTGAGGCTTTGGTCTAAGCATTCGGTTTTAGTGTGTAAGCAATGGGCAACAACTGTAAAATCACCAACAATTAAAACTTTATCTGCAGCCAGCACTAACTCGGATATAAAATCAGCACATTCTTTAATAAAGTCTGTATGGTGCCCTGGTGGCCTGTATACAGTAGCCAGTACAAACATCACAGAGGTTTTATCATTAACACTTGTTTCTCTGGATAATGTTATATGAAGCACCATTACTTCAAACGAGTTATACTTGAAGCCCGCCCTCTGAGAAATACTGAAAACATTGTTATAAATTGTAGCAACACCTCCCCCTTTACCTTTTGGATCGTATCATCATTCAGTCTCCTGTGCTGCTTGTGCTCTCTGAACCGGCTCATAAGTTGTACAGTAGGTTTGATCACATCATTCGAAACAAGTGTGAACAATTTTGAATCCTTGTGTGTAAACGATGACAGCTGTGCTTTAGTTGTGTTTAACTTTAGCCGCTTGTGTTTAGCATTTTGCAGCACAAATGCGTCACAGTGTGAGAAGTGTTTGAGTGAATGAGAATGTGTTTAGAGTTTTGCAAATAGAGTCTAACTGCCTAAACGTGTTTAAGGTTTAGCAGAAAGAGTGCTTTATTCGACAAATTGGTTTAAGCTAGTGAGAATTTGGTTTAGCATTGGGGTTTAGTGTTTTAGCAATTCAGAAAAACTGTAATAGTCTATGACCTTTTAATTTGAAAACAAAAGTATTAGTTTTCCTGCATCGTGAAACTTTTACTTTCACAAAGGGGACAATCTTTGAAGGATGAACAATATTTCTTGGTCATCACATTGAAAATAAAATTTAAATGGAATGCTATTCAGATTATTGAGCTTTGAAGTGCTGGAAAAAGTTTGGAAAATTTATTGAAAAGTCCTTCATACAAGAGGTCTAAATCAGTCTAATTTGCTGCGTTATGATTAAAGCTATGCCTAAATGTGATTCAGCTTTGGAAGCATCACACACACACGTTTAGCTATCTAAATGGGGACTCTCCATAGGCGTAATGGTTTTTATATTGTACAAACTTCTATCGCTCTACACCAACCCTACCCCTTACAGGAAACTTCCTGCATTTGAACAATTTAAAAAAAAAAATTTACTTTATTTTTATACCAGTTTTACAAAGGAGGATATCCACAAAGGGAGGTTGTTGGAGATTTTGTCAGGTTTAGCTCACTTTTGGGTACCCAAAATATGGTTAAGTAGGTACACACACACAGACAAACACACACACACACGTCAGGTCAGCTATCCTTGTGGGGACTCTCCATAGGCGTAATGGTTTTTATACTGTACAGACCGTATATTCTATTGCCCTACACCAACCCTACTCCTAAACCTACCCCTCACAGGAGACTTTCTGCTATTTCAGATTTTCAATACACTCCATTCTGTGTGATTTATAAGCGTTTTGAAAAGTGGGGACATGGGGTAATGTCCTGAAAAGTCACCTTCTCCTTGTAATACCTGTCATACATTTGTCATTATACACATTTATGTCCTCATTTGTCACACACACAGTAAGATTTGATGACGTCATCTAAGTTCACCATACCTTGTCTTTTGGTGAATTGACGCCACTGGTTTCAAGATGTTTAAAGATTTCAAAGACATAGGCTGCACTATTATATGAAAACAGTAAATGTATATGTGGACTTTAATACAGTGTTTCTCGATTGCTAACTAGGGCTGGGTATCAATCCAAATATTTCGATATCGATACCTTGACTTCGATACCAGTTCCTGAACAATACTTTTTTCGATACCAATTTTATGAAATCAATTTTAACAAGATTACATTATCTAAAAAAAAAACTGGTTTTATTTTTCAGCTTGTTGTTGTTTATACAAACTCAAAGACTCATCTCCTGAGCCACTGCACAAAGGAACAATGTAACCAACACAATAAATCAGTGCAAAATAGTTTTAATAAAGCTCAAATAGTCTTCAGTTTACACATCTGTTAGGCTACATTTACACTAGTTAGTGTTCGTTTTAAAACGCATAGCTCAGACAGAATCATGATTTCTATTTATTTTCCACTGATTTACTGATGAGCATTAGCAGCTTCCAGCGCTGTCTGCTTGTGCTCTCTCTTCCGTGAACGCTGCTCTGACTCAGAGGTAATAACATATTTAATTTCAGCAACATTACATGGCCAAAACACACATTAGATGGCAGGGCCGGATTTACCTATTTTCGTGACGTAGAAAAAAAAACAAATTTTTGGGCCCCCTTCCCTATTCTCAAAACGTGAATTATTGTGGAGTGAGATGACACGAAGGCTCTATCACTGCAACTCTGAAATCAGAGCACATTTGAATTAATTACTCAAAACGAAACTAAATATCTTGGTTTATACAATCCTGTCCTTTATCTTTTAAACGGTGCAGATTGATAAATCCTTGAAAACTGCTAGACTTTATTAGTTTTGACTGTTCAAAGTTCTGTATTATGTTCTACAATATGAACTTAACAAGAGGCTTCCTCTAGTTCTGTGTACAATTATAGAGCAACACGAAGGTAAGCGCATTATTGTTGTTGTTATTTTTGTTAATTGTCACAGTTTTGACTGTCATGGTGTGTGCATGAACAAGTGTGAAATACCTGCTAATTACGTTGCTTTTTCCTGTCACTTATATTGGGCACTTTTTGCATTTAAATTGGATTATTCTGATTGACAAATTATGCATGTGTTGTTTGGAGGGTATCGGTTAATTTATTGATTGCCGTCTGCTTTCATATTTTATTAATGTTCAGTAGCCTAATTCTCTTTAATGTAGGCTATTCGCCCCGATTTGATCCGTTACTGGGAAATGTATGTAACATCATATTTATATTATTTTGTTTTAAGGAGTTAAAAATGGTCTTTATCAGCCTTGATTTCCATATTCCATCACATTATTTTGACAGTTCAAATTTGGGCGGTTTTTAGGCGGGTTTTTGTGAGCTTTTGGGCTGGAAATCATCCATTCAATCTGGCAACACTGATCAGTTATAGTGTGTTAGCATTACATTTAACAATCACCATACTGTACTTATTAACCACACATGGTTGAATTGAAGACTTTCAGCTGTATATCTGTCTTCATTTAGTGGATGATGACCTGATGAAACTCTTTAATTAATCATTTTAAAATGGAGATTTGCATGAGATGATCAGAGATCAGCAGAAACACAACAGATTCAAGATCAGGGATGTGTCTGCATGAAAAGAGACACAGCAATGAGAATAGATGTCCAGAATGAAGCAAAACTCTCTCTACTGAGCGACTGAGTTTGATTCATGTATGAATGATCATCAGTGAATCAGATTCATCCGATCTGAGCTGCATTTGGGCACCAGATTCTGGATCCCTGAGAGAAACACAATCAGTTTCAGCAGATCAAGCTTCATTCATTGAGTCTCAGCTGAAGATTGAAACATCATCCGTCTGTTTCACTAATGATCATATGATTCAGTCAAACTCACTTCATCTCTTTCTGTCTGTCAGTCTGATTCACGCTCCTGTTTTCTGGATCATCCTCACGCTGACAGACAGACGGCACTGCCTTCAAAAAACACCTGAAAACACTTATTATTAAATATCATTATATTTATTCAGAGATATTAAAGTTTAGACCTCTGATTTCATCGTTAAATATGACTTAAGGCAGATAGATAGGTCATAATCTGTTGAAGTGGTTAAATCTTAAATTATATGTTCACTTATCTTGGTTTCTAACAATCATAATTTGATTTTCATGACTATTTTAAAGTGTCTCTGACACAATTAAAGACTCGTGACTCACCTGAAGATCCTTTTACGCAGAATGAAACAGACCACAACCAGAAGAACAATGAAGATCAGAGCAGAAATCCACCACAGCTGATCTAGATACAATAGAAAATCAGCAGATCTGTACAAACAGCCCAATAAAATCAGCTGATCTACAACAATAATAAAACAATATTAGAAAGCAAAAGCTCTGAATGTTGTACCTGAGAGCTGGAGATCTGGAGTCACTTCATTCAGGACATCTTCACAAACACAACGATCACAGATATGAGCCAATATGAAAGAAAACATTGAGAGCTGTTGACATTCAAACTGGATTACCTTTCAATACGGTCTGTCACATTGTGTGAACACGCTTTGGGGAAACTCTGATTTGCCTGGTTTGTTAACGTTTGTGTAGCTTCAAGAACAAATGGCATTTCAGCCCACCAAAATGGGCAGAGCCGACTGCCTATATAAGTCTCCCCCCCCCCCCCCCCCCCTCCTCCTCCACCTCCCTCC